CTTGGTTCAGGCGGTAGTTGTGTTCACAGACACCAGACGAACGGACGGGCGGGCGGACAGGCCAAAGAACGTTTTGAAGGGAAAAAAACCAACACTTTTTCGGTATTAGGGGACCCCAAAACGTTTATTTCCGTCGAAATCGATTTTCCGCAACATTACATAACTTTTCCTATACTACGTATATTACTCCGTATGTACGTACGTACACGGGAAAGTAAAAAATGAGAATATATTTTAAATAATAGTTTTAAGTACAAGAATTTAGTGATCAAATAATACAATTTCCACGATGAGCTTAAAACGAAAAAAGATTTTGTTGTGTTTAATAAAATCACTTGTTTAAGACTTGAAATAACAAATATGAATTTCAATAGAACCTATTTATGTTAGCATCATTTGATTACATACATTTTTCCCATTTCATAGATACATACATAAAGTAAATGCAGTTCTCATTTTCTGAAACATACATATATTAGAATGAGTCCTACCTTATAAGTAATGTCTATAATTAACAATGTTATGCAAAAAATATATTTTTATGAAATAATCGACTACTGTTCCGAATTATTAAAATGACGATAGAGATTTTCTCGAGATCTAATATCCTTTTCAATCTCAGGCCCCTTCACAGGCGGAGGTTCGCGCGATGGCCGCGCTGTCCAAGCCTTGCATATAAATGCGGTGATTCATAATTTGCTCCTGCAGTCATAATTTACTAGAATCGAATCTGCGTAGTAAGTTTGTATCTTTCTAAATGAATATGTTTAGTTTTTATACTGAGTGTTTAATAATATTCACTACTTTTGAAATGTTAGGAACAAATTTGTCTCTTCTCAAAGAAAAACCTGCCTATCACCTTGTCGTTGTCGCATTTACACTGAAGACGAATGCATCTGTTCAAGTGAACTTATCAGTTCTGACGTTGGAGTATAACGCAATTTCAATCATTTTTATATGTTTTGTGTTCGTAGGGCTGTAATTACGCGAAATGATTATACATAGTATTAGCTTTCTCATAATACCAGCGAGAGCTCGCAAACAGACCGGTCTATCTAACAGCGGCCTAGCGGAGCAGCGACTTGCGCGCGGTGACCCAACGCCCGCTCCGACGCCGCCGCCGCTGGTTCCTCTTCCACTTCCACGACAGAGAAGAGCAAAATAAGAATATTAAAGAAGAGTAAAACCTCGTCGTAAATGGAAATTTTCGTTGAAAAATTTGCAACTCATTTTCTTTTTAAGAAATTGGTGAATAAGCGTTACTATGAACGGGTAATTTGAACCTCTTTTCACAGGAAAAATTTCGAAAGAGTTTTCGAAAAACTTCATATGAAGTCTTTTCAAGCACAAATACAATAGTGTTTACAAATCTACGGAAATGGGCATATTAAAGGCGGAGAGATATTTTAGAAAAATTACATTGGTGTATTCAAAAACAACAAAAGAATACAGCAAAATGAACTTGATGCCATATTAAACAGTGCAATTAGCAACAGTGTAACTATCCTTTGTAACAGATTCAAGAAAAATTTGGAGCGATTTTTCAAAAAATGGCGTTTGACCATTGTAATTGCGGAATTTTGAGCTCATTTTCACAGAAAATTGTTGAGTTTTCGAGACACTTTATCTCACATTATTTAAAGCATATGCACTCATAAATACAATAGTGTGAACAAATTGCCGCTAATGTAAATATTAACGTGAGAGACAAGTAAAAAAACTACATTTTTGTGATTTTTGAAGAAAAAAAGAATAGAACAATAATGCATTTATGTCATCTTACAGAGGGCCTTTAACACTATCCAAACCGAAAGTTTAAAGAAACAAATTGAGTCTTTTTGAGTCAACCTTCCTTTTGAATTTGTATAAAAATGCTAATATTGCACGCAATATTGCACAAAAACTAATTTTTTCAAAATGAATTCCATGACCTTCATAAAAGAACTAATTATGGACAGCAACTTTCATTTGAAGGAAATATCTCTATCTTTAATCTTGTAGTTGTGAAAAGACGCCAAAACTTCAAACTTTTGCAATTTTTGAAACTTCAGAGTTCACCGTGAAAATCGGATCTATGCCACATTTAAAGTGTAATTTGCTTTATTCTTACAAGAAAAGTAAAGACAAAATTTAGAGATGGTTTTAAGAAAATTTCGAAAATGTCTCAGGGATTTCATGTAAAAGTAACCCCAAATTTTAAAGAATGTTTCTCAAAATTTCAAAGCTTCAACTAGCGCCAGACAGGGGTTTCTCCAGTTTGGAAAAACTACTGATGGTTTAGGTGCTAGTAGTGTTCACGGACGGACGGACAATTTGGCGTCAATTGAATTTCGGTGTTCAGGACCCAGAAAACAGACATTCTGCCTACGCCACGTGTTAGAGGCATTTGTTTCTTAACGTAGCGACTAGATTTATCCACTTTTATGTTCAGGGACTAGCAATGATTTTTTTCTGTCGAAAATCCTTCGTTTATTTCGTAACTTTCTCTATATTACGTATATACGTACGTATAGGAGAAAATACCTAGTGGTGCAACAGAATGACACAGATGTTCTCGTCTTAGTTTTCTATTTTCTTTGGTCCCGGCTAGCTATTCGGACCTACCACATACTCTTGCCAGCTGCCATCTATCGCCGCCTAAAATTAATATTTTTTAATCTTAATTTTCTATGTCCTAACAGTAGAACGGAAATATTATTTTAAGAATATTAAAGATCAGTAAAACATAGTCCTAAATGGCAATTTTCTTTGAAAAAATTGGAGCCACTTTTAAGAAAATAGCGTTCAAGTGCTACTGTAAATTCGAAATTTGGAACTTTTTTACAGATTTTTTTTTGTTTTCGTAAAACTTCATTAGAAGTCATTTTAAGCACTTAGCTCACAAATACAATAGCATTTACAAATTACTGTACAATTTACAAATTACTGGAAATGTGCATATTAATGGCATGAAAAACATTCAATAAAATTACATTTGTTTAATTTTTGAAAACCAAAATAATACACTGAAATTAACTTTGCGTCACATTAAAGAGAACAATTAGCAATATCCGTTCGAAAAGTTTGAAGAAAAATTTGGAGCTGTTTTTGATAAAATGGCATTTGGGCGTACCTGAAGATGTGGAATTTTGAACTCGTTTCTACGGAAAAGGTTGAGTTTTTGAGAAACATTATACAACATTATTTCAAGCACATGAACTCATCAACAAAATAATGAGAACAAATCGCTACTAATGTAAACATTAACGACATGAGAGGTACGTTAAAAAAAGACATTATCGTAATTTTTGAAAAACAAAAAGTATAGACCAACGTGGTGTTTATGTCATCTCGTATAGTACATTCAGAACTATCCCTACAAAAAGGTTAAAGACAAATTTAGAGACTTTTTCGGAAAATCTAGTTTTTCTTTTAAATTGCAAATATTTCATGAAATATTGCGCGAAAACTACTAAAAGTTTTTAAAACTGTACTTGACCTTAATGAAAAAAATAATAATGGACAACAATTTTCATTTGAAAGGAAAATCTCTATCTTTAATTTCGTAGTTATAGGAAGATGCCGAACAAATTCAAACTTTTAAAATGTTCAAGTCAGAGTTGACCGTGAAAATCGGACATATGTCACCTTTAGGGTATTTTACTCTAATCTTACAAGAAATTTAAAGAAAAAAATTACAGGCGGTTTTGAGAAAACTTTGAAAATTTCCGTGGAGCTTCATCTAAACTAACTTCAAATTTTAAAGAATTTTTTTTCATTATCTCAATGCTTTGACTCGAGCCAGATGGACAGGGGTTTCTTCAATTTGGAAAAAACCCACCGTATGGTTTAGGTGCGAATGGTGTTCACAGAAGGACGTTGAAAAAAAACAACACTTTTTCGGTATCAGGGAACCACAAAACCTGTATTTCCGTTGAAATCTCCAAATCGATTTTCTGTAGGATTAAATAACTCTCGCTATGTTTTACAGCGAGATTTTAAGTTTTATTTAATATATTACCGTGTTTGGAAGAGTAATTTAATTGGTTAGCTAAACTATGTGAAACACAGAGTAACATTTGCCAAATTTAAATTACAAGGTATTTGTAAGAAGCTGTGCAGTATTGGTGAAACTTGGTTCATTTGTGCACTATGAATAAATTATGCCATATTTTTGAATGACGAATTTCTTTATTAATCAATGTAATTTTTTTGTATGTGCCTTGAATAAATTATAGTGCCGATTATTTTCATAAGTTTCTAAATAAAATAATGCAATTATCAGTTCGTCCCTTAGTTCAATTTAATTATGTTACCAACTTATTTATTTATAACTTATGTTTTCAAAATATCCAATTTAGATTCAAATTTATCATGAGACATCCTAAAGAACTGAAATAATTTTTCATCTTCTACAAGGTCGGGATATAATATGTGAAATTCCCCTTTCGTCATTATCGTACTGTTTAAAGAGAAGAGAATTTGGCTTTGTTCGCTTCCTTGCATAATTTCCTTCTGCTACTAAAAATGAACAGAATGCGATTGCTTCTTTACTTAATCATCATCACAAATTTTATATAATAGACCTGGCGCCCGGAATAACCAACCCTCCCACTCCTCTCACACCTTACGAAATAAGGGCTCGAGAAAATGCACGCGGAGAACATTCTCCTCCTTCCGCTCTGACTGTTGGTGGAAGCTCGTTGCGTCTGATCCCCGAAATGTTTCGACCCAGAGACGTTCAAGACAAGAACAATAAATATTGTAGATTGAATCAACTGAAAATGAAGCAGCTTATTTAACAGAAACAAAAAATCGTGTGTTACGGTAAGATTCAAAAGTTTGGATTTTTACATTAAAAATTAAATACTGGAAAAAATTATACTGGATTAATTACTGAAAAAAAAACCTGCAATGACGCACCGGAAATATAAATTGTGGTAAAATACAACTACCCCTTCTGGTTTTGTACTCAAGATCTCACAATAGCATCGTCAAAGAAAATGTTAAAAAACAGATTACCCACCAGATCCAGACCATGGTAATGTTGGGACATCAGCCGTTTGAGCGACAATGCTAGAGGCAATTTTGTCTCCGAGTGTCCACATTGCTTTAGCAGGAGGCCCCATAAAGATAATACCATGTTCATTCAAACAATTTGGAAGGTCTGGATTCTCTGATGCGTGGCCCCATCCAGCCCATACAGCCTGCACAACAAACAATCAAATCAAAACGAAACAAAACAAAACAAAACAAAACAAAACAAAACAAAACAAAGCAAAACAAAAATAAAATAAAATAAAATAAAATAAAATAAAATAAAATAAAATAAAATAAAATAAAATAAAATAAAAGCAATTAATAGATGTCCACATTGATATCGGTATAGAATATGATAGTACGAATAAATTCTTACCTGTACCTCATGTTCAATTGCTATTTGCACAATAATATCAACATTCGCATAATTTTTATAATTTGGACCCCCTGGCACAGGTGCGCAATAATCTGCCAATTTAACGTACTCAGCATTTGCTAAAATAAAAAAAAGATACATGTTTGAAGTATAGTAATCAAAACTACTTACACTTGACGTCGAAACATAGTTGCAACCACAAGAAATAAATTGATAAAAAAAGTTAATTTCTTCGAAAACGAGGGGCATACGAAGAGTGACATATTTTTTACATTATGCACTGGATATGTGATCGGGATATGAAAAGTGCGGGCAAGAATGGCCGTCCGATTCAACCAAATCATAGTTGTTTGGTGCGGCACCGAGCTCACGAACAAACATTATTCGTGATACTTATTTTGCGCATGCGTATTGCAACGCAAATGGCTGTGCAGATGGAATGCAAAAAAGGCATTTTTATCTGGCGATGTTACAAAACAATATTTCAAAACAAATAATTTAATCCAATAAATTCGAAGGGAAAGAATTGTTTCAAATAATAATAATAATAATAATAATAATAATTATTATTATTATTATTGCGTGTTCTGCACCCCCTCAAAGTAGACAATTCTTAAAGAGCTACTGTTCACTTTACAGTCACTGTCATTTCAACGTTCCTCATATTGAAAATTATCTTCCGGGATGTGATGAGCGCGATACTTCATGAAACATTTTTCACGATTGAAAATAAGTCTCAAAGACATTCCATTTATCCGATCGCCAAAAAGGCGTAAGAGTTGTATTTTGAATCAAAGGTGGATGAGGGTAACTGTTGCTCCCACTATTTAAGAGTGGTTACATCGAACCCACGTATCTACGCAATTTGCCATACCACTGTGGAGGGAACCCAGAGCCCACCGCTACTTTTGTTTAACGAAAGTGACAGGATCTCAAGTAAATCAAAATATACAGTTTCTTATCCACATTTGGCATCTGCAATGCGCCCAGTTCCGCATTCTGATTCTCTCCCAATTCCAACACCCCAATGGAATGGACAATGAAAGAAGTAACGAACAATGGTAGTGACAAACCAACAGATCCCAAAGGTCTTGATTATACCACATCTACAGTCATAGCCGTAGACAGAATCGAACGACCTTAGAAGAAATCTAAATCTTTGGAAAATGCAAGCAGAATTACTGCGGTCTCGTCTTCAAGAAAATAACCTGTTACAAGCAAACTCTGATATTACATTCCAAAAAGGACCGCTTTATCTCTATTTTTTCTCAAAGACAGATAGTTTGTTACACTAAAATGACATAAATGGGCTGCTTACAAAATTCGGAATGATGAATAATCGGGAAGAATGGCGACTATTTAAAGATTCTTCAAAGACTACTTTCAAAGCTTTCGAAGCCAACAACGAAACCTACGAGAACATGAGGCTACTCCTCAAGTATACTGCCTATTCGAATCACAAATCGAAAATCTGTGAAAATATCAAAGTTCTAGGACTTTTTTTCGGAATGCTGATGGTTACACAAAATATTGCAGTTTCTTATGCCACTGGGGTAGTAGGGCGAAGACAGAACAGTATAAAGTCAAAATATTGGGCTTTAAAAGAAATTTTTAATCCTAGTGAAAAAAATTATCGCAAGAATCCCTTATTGATAGTGCTGTTACCACTACTTCAACTGATATTGGGCTTTACGAAGAAATTTGTGAAACCAATGGACAAAGATGGCCAGGGTTTTACTATCTAAAGCTGCTGCGATTAGTACTGCAAAAATTAAAGAAAGAATTTTCATTGGGCTTCAAATATGTGACTTGAAATATATAACCTTTGAACAGTTGCTGACAGATCCTGTGAGGGTAGCTTGGCTTGCATTGAAAGGTGCATGCGACAAAGGCACTGGAAACGTTATGTTTGAGAATCACAGGGATCTGGCGGAACACATGATGGACTGTTACAAGGCTAGGGGGTGCAACATGTCTCTGAAATTACATTTCCTTAATTTCCATTTGAATTTCTTCCCACCTAATCTTGAAGATGTGGCAAAGATGGTGAGCGATTTCACCAAGGTATCGCTGTCATGGAAAAATTATTTAAAAAAATAGTCACCAAACCTTTTGGAAGACTACTACTACAAGAAGTATTCTCACAAACTGAAAGTTTTCAGGAAAAGTTTCTAACTTGTAACTTCATTTCAAGCTTTATTCAGCTTTCTCGCACTGTCTTCATTTTATGTTTTGTAATACATCCTTAATTATACTTCTTTCTTCTCCGGTGAGGTATTTGGCCTGTTGGTCTGTTGTGAATCGATGATAACTCCTTCTTCTTTTGGGTCTGCCAATACTTATTTTCCCTTGAGGTGTGTAGAAGAGGAGTTGCTTAGGTAAACGGTTATTTTCCATCCTTGGTACAGTGTCTTTCTATTTCTTACTATATTCTTCGATTTTGTCGATTAGATGGAAGATTCGGGGGTTCCTCTGGTGGGTCACATTTTGCAATCGATCTCTTCTCCTTACTCCTAGGATCGACCTCAGAAATCTCACTTCAGCAGCTTTTACTCTTTTGCTATAGGATTTGGAATTTATAACCCAGTTTTCACTTCCATATAGGCCATTTGTATGAATTATACAAATAATTTAATACATTCAATTTTCGTAATACAAATAATATTTGTTACATGATCTGTGCAGATTCCTTCTGTATTTGTATTGAGTGTTTTCCAATTTTCTTGAAAGTGGTATATGTAGCGTATATTTTCCAGAATGTGTGATGAAATATTTCTGATTTAATAAAGCACGTTCTTCCATCTCGCGACAAGACACAAAGTTCATATTTGCTGCTCTGTTATGTATGAACGATAGTGAGTAAATGGTATAATAGCAAAACACGATGTGATTTATTTTTTTTATTTCCTTCTTTACATTCGATAAACAATGTTATTAAAATATTACTTATATGTGTCAACACAATACAGTATACCGGTATTTATTTTAAGTACTCTAATTAAAAGTGGAAACAGGAGAAAATTCCATCTGTTTTATTGTATTCAAAACATCAATATTTTAAACGTCGGTGAAATATCAATATATAGATGCCATCACTACCCACATAACCACCTGCATTTTCTAGGAAAATTATTTTCTATGAAATGCTGTTTTTTATGACTTCACATTTTCAATAAAAATTTTAAGATACGGAGTTATCTTTTTAGATTTATTAATATCTAGTTTGTTTCTTTCAATAGGGAATGAACAAAAGGAATTTTTAAACACTTCTATTGAATTCATTGTCTTCGTACCAAGGAAATAAATGTGTAACACTTCTGATCTTCAAACAGCCAAGGATAACAACCACAAAATAGGAAAAGTTTCTTACTTTGTTTCAAAAGATTTGTCAGTTGCAGTTGACCGACATTGACGGCAGGAGCGTCGATAACAATACACCAACAAAACTAGTAGCGGCTGCTTTCCCTACAAACTGGAGGTTGTAGATCCATCCAATGACGGAAATGTAATATCCAAATTTCAGAACATTAAATTTAATAAAATGTAAGCAATTCATGGAAATTACTTAAAACTAAGATTAAAAAAGTATATACTGCAATATGCACTGCGCAGAGAAGGAATGTGTTGTTTGTGGACCCAAATTCGTGGCTGCACGACGGCAATTTTGGTCGTGACGGGTTGCACCTAAATCGCTCGGGGTCCACAAAGCTGGGTGGACTCTTCTCGCGTATAGGAGGCCCGAAACTCCCCGCGACAGGCTCGTGAGACCGCATGGCGGTGGCGGCAAGGGATGTCGTGTCCCTTGTGATGGTTTGCGCAGGGATGTCGGCGACGGACGGCGGCGAGGGACGGTGACGTGGCGGCGACGTGCAATGGTGCGGTGACGGCGGCAAGGGACGGCGACGAGGCGGCAGCGGTCGGTGGCGCGGTGACGAGAGGGAAAACGAGAATAAAACTGATTGGCTATTTCAAAATCAACACGGTTTTTGTCCTGGGTATTCGTGCAACAGCCAGACAATTGCTTTTTGTCAGGGCATAGCAGATTCATTAGACGAAGGGAGTAGGGTCGACGCAATAATATCAGATTTTTCTAAGGCATTTGATCTTGTTCCACATGACCTTTTAATTTCCAAATTGTCAGAAACGGGAA